TAGTATTTTTTTATAATTTTTCTTTTCGTATAATTCCTGTAAAATGTATGTCTCTGATGTAATTTCCTAGAACAATATTATTTGCTTTCGCTTGTTCTTGTAGAAAACGCAGAGATGAACTCTTAAATTCTACTTCTTTAATTCTAAATGTAGAATTAAACATTTATAAACGTTTAAGATTTCTTATGTAATCTCTTAAGCATCTATAGAACGTTTAAGAGAGAGGATACTTTACGAGAGTTTCGCGTTGAAATATAGATGCAAATATACGAGTTGCAATTGTACATTAGCTTTCAAAGTAAAGTTAATAATAACGATTTAGTCGGACATAGATTACATCACAGCCATTGACACTTATAACACTCGACAGTTATTCAATTAACATTCGCAACGATCGCATTTCCCCAATTTTCCGTGATCTACTACTTTAGCGTTATCAACGTTGTATTATTCAATAATATCCATAAGAAATCATAAAAATTCATCACATACAATGTCATTATACTCTTACATGCTAGAGTTTGTTTCGCTAAGAAACACCGACGCTTATAATTAACATTCAATTGAGGATGTCTCCCGTAGTTGAAACTGGCAAATTTCATAGTACAATATAATGATCAAGGAACTTTATATAATGTTTTTCTAAAACATTTAATCAAACTTTACCAACAAAACTTTGCATCCATTTATATTTGACAATTAAAATACTAATTCAGAATAAATACATGTGAGAAGACATTTCTTAAAATTCCATGCACTTGTATCGGTAAAGTTTGGTGAATATTTTAGAAACATTCAGGAAGATAAAAATATCGTAATAATGAATAAAGAGATGTATAATGTTTGAGAAATAAAAACGTAATGTTATGTTAAAATAAAAGGGTGTGTAAACGAAGTCAATCGTGATTAAGAAAAAAAACAGACATAATATAAATGTTAATTTAAATAGAATATAGATTTAACACATTCGTTAGAATATAAATTTAATACATATTAAATTCATTAGAAAAGTTCTAATATTGCAATATTCTACATTATCAGCATTTATATAAAAGAGCTGATAATGTAGAATATTATATAGTAATAAGTTTTAAATGTATATAATTTGATAACGCGAATGTGTCAAACAAATCATCAAGAAAAGGAAATAAATAAATTATGAAACGCACTTACCTGGTGTACAACAAAATCGAATGAAACGATGAACGGTTGATAACAACAAAAAATGAAATAAACGAAAATTTTGTGTAAATAACTTGTAATTGCTGTAAAAATAGAAAATCTGAGCGATACGCAGGCTATGCTCTAGAGGAATACTATTCGATAGAAAGCATCCGAACAATTCCTTGGAGCTGGCAGAACCAAAGAGCTCAATTGACAGATAATTAATTAATCCGTATAGCTCTGTTCTTAACGGCGCAATTAAATACGAGTCCAACATCGAACTAATACGTGATAGCGATATGGATCGAAGACTCTTAACTTTTTTTATCTCGACATCGAAATATACACAATAATACATATATATTTATCATCTAACGACGACTTCATATATTCTACATATACAAGCGTATACCCAATTACGTTACTGTATATATTATCACGCTTATCCGAATAATTTTACTTGATATATAACGAGGTGTGCAGAACGAGAATCGTATGTCAATATTCACTTTAATATTCGTAACGCCTTCGTCGAGAGCTCGCGAATAATTTTGAAAAATGGATTTCTCGTCGCGCAGTTTCTATAGATCGATTATAAATTCTTACGCCAACTTATAAAATAGCTAACAGAAAAGTGTCTAGAAAGAAAAGTTGTCGATTCTTCTATTAACTTCGTCGTTATAAAAGTTTCCACGTTAAATGGTCGTCGAATGAATTGTCGTATTTCGGCAAAATGTAACTACGTTCCTGTGAGAGGGTGCTTTCCCACAGGAACGCAAGGGAAAGAGAAAACCAATTTTTCATCGGGCAGCGAATTTTCCAGTCTATGTAACACAAGTTTGCGCACAGGGCGCCTTTTACAACATCGTTTCACATTGATTCCGGAATGCAGACTCAACTTTTCAGCTCGTTTCACTTTCGATACGGTGCAGAGGCGGGCGCAGCAGCAAAGAAGGTTTTCATAGTCGTGCAGGTTTTGTGCGAACACACATGCAAAGGGAGGCTTGTTTTACAGACTCGTGTATTCGCTTTGAAAAATATTATTACCACTCTATTAATCGAGTCGCGTTTGCAATGTACATTACATGTAAATGTCAAATTAAAAATACATTAAAAGCCTCATATTTTTTTATATACATACCGACAATGAAATTAAAATGATAACATTTTAGCGTATACTATTTTTTTACTCCACTGCTGTTTCAGAAATAAAACAGTAAGCAGCAAGTGCCTTGAATATGTAAGTATTGTATATAAATCACTTAACTAATCTTCAAAGAAATCCCTTTTTTCGTGTAATAAACTGAAAAAATCTGCTATTTAATAAAAAAATTAAGTAAAATTCCGAGATACAGCTGTTCAATATATTTTATCATCTAATAAGATGTTAAACGAAAATAAAAATATTTTCTATCTCTTTTTCTCGTATGAGCTCTTGAGACACAATGAGATCGTCGTATGTTCTTTCCGCTTGAATACGCTAAACGTGCCGTTTAATAAAAAAAAAATTGAGATCGCGTTGCTGCATGTAAAAAGGACCAGGGCTAAAGGTATTTGAATAGGCGCCGCTATCAATCAATAAAATTAACCCCAGCTACTGACGGCGGACCCACCCGTCTGCGGCGATAACACAGATATCAACTCGCATGCACACGCGATGTAAACCCATGCATATGCCATACAAGTGAATGCACGTGCGTACCGTACACGCGTCGAGATATATTTATTGCACACAAAACCCTGACAATACAAAAACATGACGAACCCCTCCACGGTTTGATTCTCGGGAAAATCGGGATTCTTCGAGACCAAGCCTTCTTCGCAGAAAGATTCGTTCTTAACGCATAGATAAAAGCGCATCTTAAATTCCTTTTTTAAATTTTGCATATCATGTCGTCCTTTACTAGAGTTTATTATTTTATTTATTTCTTATTCGGTTATTCTATTTTGCTTCTGTGGTTTTTCTCCGAAAATTTACTCTAATACTCATATTCAAACTATCAAGAAGAAACAAACGCCTCGTTCTAAACATTCATCGATAGATAGAGAAGGGAAGAGAATTATTCTGCCGCTCCGCGAGAATTATGCTACATTCGGCAGAAAAAAGCACGACTAAGACACGTGTGATCCGATGTCGCGTCGCGTAATATAAATAAAATTATTTCTAATATACGTGGTCATCTCTCTTTGTAGCAGTCTTACACTCGGCATAATTTGCCCTTTCCGATATAATATCTGATATAATTCCGATATAATTTATTCAACGATCGCGCTCTCGTCAGCCTCGCAGTCGCAAAATCGCAAACGAGCGCAAAGCTGCTGTCCCAGCTACTGACGGCATTGGCAACACGAATGCTTGTAATATTTGATTCGGCACAGACCATTCTTTACCACTAAAACGCAATTCGGATACTTGTCCACGCACTCGGACGACTCGTGCACCTCTGAAACATAACGTTAAAACATGTCTGTCAAGTACTTATATATCAAATCTAATTATTAAGTGGCAATAATTCATCATCATTATCACCGATCTATTAAGTTTTTATAAAAAATTGCTACGGTTTCTGAAATTGCTAAAGTTGAGAAAAAACGAGAGATATAAATCTTTTTCTTTACTTTTGGGTGGTTTGTTCGCCACTGGAATCTCCTTCTTACACGGCTCCATGTTACATCGTTGCTCCGCGCTTGGTTTGTTGATTTCCGAGCAACTGGTGCTGCTAATACCTTCGACGATGCACCGTACAAGTCGTGTTTGCACTCCAGTTTCACATGTTGCGGAACACTAAAAATGGAACATATAAAAGTTATACTGGGCATACACGCATCCGAAAATCAAAAAGTTCACAAAGGGAAGAATTTTCTGGTTAAAATTTTCTTAATTCACGCATTTGCGATAATTTACCGTCGACCAATTTGAGGTGAACCATTCCGGCAAACACGCGGACATCCTGCAAGCTTGCTCAGTCGCTGGTTTGGGATCGCTGCAATTTTTTGCAGGTAGCACGACAAAGTCATTATCCGTTCTGGTTATGCAAGCGATGTCTCGATATTGCACGCCAACGCCGCACGAAACAGAGCACTAAATACATAAAAGAAGTTAATGTAAGAAGTTATATGTCGTCATTAATTGTAAAAAATTGCATCGTACAATAAACAGAATAAGGATAAAGAGGAAGAGGCACTTTATTAAATATTGATTTTGTTCTCGAATCTCAAATCGACTGTGGAACAATTAAAAATTAAATTAAGATGTAAATTACCATTTCGTGTAATTAGAAATGTGCATCTTGAAATTAAAGCTAGATTCGTGTAAAAAATTAGTGTCGTCTATCAAAATTATGTCAGCTTTAATTTAAGATCGCTTTAGCTTTACGCGTTGCTGCGAGATGAGCGTTTTATTTTCTGAATCGTGCTTGTACTAACGGAAGTCCATGGACTGGCGAACCATTTGGCTCGGTCGCAGCTCGTCCCTCGTCCGAAGCAATGCATCTCCGTGTCTGGTCTCTCTTTGGGATTGCAGAATAACTCGCTACCGTCAGCGCATGCCACTCGTCTGATCCTCACGCCATTTCCACATTCGGCGGAGCACTGCAACAATGACGAATGTCATGCTACCATGTTCAAAAAATATGTACATACATATTTCATCTTTATCTTGAAGTCGAGAAATAAAATTAAATTCAATGACGTTTGAGATATTCTTTTTTTTTCTTACATAAAAATCGTCACAGAAAAGTGGTTTTACGTATTCAGTTATTGAATAAATGCAAAAGTATGGTAGCATGGAGAACCCATAGCTTTTAAATAGATATTTTCACGTTTGCTTATTTTCAAATGGAATTAATCCCATGATGTGTTATACCTTTGAAGACCATTCCGAGTACAACCAGGGCGCTGTTCCGGGGTGATGTCTCGTTGTCGCACTACAAGCCACTACTTCACACGCTTTTTGAGATTCCGGCTTGTTGATTAACGAACAGGACTCCCCGGGCGTTATACAGGTCACCGTTCGATTTCGAATTCCACGGCCGCACGTCGCCGAACACTGGAATGCGCGATAGAAAACTTAACAGATGGAATATATTATTCAATCAAAATTAATTTTAGCAGCAGAGCGAAGAGTCCCATCGATTTGTTGCATCCTGATCGACGAATTGTAAGGAACATGAAATATCTACAGAAAAGTTAATATAATCGGAAATTTATATTTTCCGTTTGTGGTAAGTTTTTCAGTTTTCCGTCAATTATTCGCTTAAATTGACTCTTCTTTGCTTACATTCTTTTTATTTATTTTCTAATTATTTCTAATATTATTATTCTTATTATTATGTATTAATTATGTATTGTTTATTAGGACATGTACAATTCGCACGAACTGTTTCTGATAAGTAAAAATAATACTGGCGACGTCCAGAGACTTAACTTCTATCCCAGTTTCTCAGTTCACATTCTCAACGGTTTCCTGTCCTACTTCCTAAATCGCTGAAAGTAGCTAGCTGTTTAACAATAAAGACATTTAATAGATTGATGACTCACCGGACCCCAAGCGCCCACGTCCCACCTGGGCGCGTCGTGCTGCGAGGGCATGTGTCTCAGTTCTGGGCCCACGTTGGGACATGCCATCCGGCTGCAAGTTTCTGTGGTGCTCAGCTCTGGCGGTTGCATGCACGCGCCAGCAGCAACGCGCATTGTCAATCTCGCGTTCAGCTCCTGAACGCATTCGAGTTTTCGCGTCTTGGTACCGACCCCGCAGGTGACCGAGCACTCACTCCACGGCTCAGCTCGCCACCTGACAACATATCCGAGTTTTCAAATACGAGATTAAGCTTATTTGCATAAATCACAGATTCCCTGAACACAAAGAGTTCATCGCGCTTCCATTCGTTCCTTGAACCCGAAATTGATCTTTGCCTCAGCAAAAATATTAATAAAGACCGAATTTAACAATTCAATATCTGAAGGATGAGTTTAAACGTATCAAATAATCTGGCTGGAAGAAAACGCGATGATCGTGAAACAATCGTCAAAGGATCTCACAGAAGAAATATATCGATGTCAGTACCTGGCGGCGCAAGGATGATCGTTGCATCGCAGCGGAGGAGAATGCTTCGGCTTTTCCACGTTGCGACAACGTTTTTCATTGACGGGTGTCTGATTGATCTCGTGAATGCACTTCAGGATAATCATCTGCACGCCTGCAAGATGCAATGAGTTGCGAGAAGTTATTCGACATATCTCGGATCTTTGCATTTCGTTACACCGTCGATTAATTCGAAATCTAATTTTCCTCGGCGAGAAATTGGCTTGACGCCAACTCTCCTCAAAATCTTTTAACATTGAATAAAACGTATTATTGCACAACGTTGTAATCAAAATAATATCTACTTGAAATTGAACGAAGAATAAAATTACATTTACGGCTTAGACTACAAAACAATAACTCAGTTCCTGTCGTTTATAACTCAGATAGCGTTGACGTACTAACAGTTTTATCGAGGAAAATTCTACGTCAAGTACATAGTTAAAGAGTCCACGAACGAAACGAAGTGCGACACTTTGTAAGTGGGACACATTGTATTATGATCGACGTGACTGTCGCGTTCCTTTTCTCCGTATTCGTCGCTTTCCGTCCGTATAGCGTCAATTTAAATTAGTCCCAGTGACAGATATCGGGATGCTGTCACATGCAATGTTCAGATGTCCAAAAAATCAGTGACAATTTCCGGTATCTTAGAAGTATAATCGCGCTGCATATTTTCCCAGACGTCTAACGTCTCAACTTTACTCTCGTTTAACTTTAATTGCTCATTTCTATATTTCCTTCATTTGATTTAAGATAAAAATGACTTTAAAATCCATTTTTAATTACTCCGCAGAGCAGCAACTTTTTAAATATTCTTTATTAAATATTTTTAATCTTTTTCTGTGCTTAAATGTTTTTAAATGCAGGAAAAGATTAAAAATATCTTATCCAAAATTTTTGATAAGTCGTCGTGCTAGAATGTGTCTAACTCTACCGAAACAAAACAAATGTATCTCGGGCTACTTCCCACGCAACGCCTCAATGACGTCTAGACAAAGTCGTTTTCCTAATGACCTTTAATTATCCAGGCGTTTTTCGCCTATTGTCCGTTTAATCAGTATCTCACAACAGATACAAAATGACTCGAAATTGTGTGGCCTTTTTAAATCAACAATTTCGTTTAATCTCAATCTCTGTTTAAATATCATATATTCCTAATATCCTACTTTCCAATTATATTTCGCAATATCAATATTTTAATAGCTGAGAAATTATTAAATCCCTCAAGAAATAATTAGGAATATTGTGAATAAATACGTTTCTCGCATCAGAGATATGCTTGTTCGTCAAAATACATACACAGTGGCTGTTAATTTTATCGACAAGCTTTAAACCACGGTAATCGATTAGACCGTTGCGTTGTATAATTACAAATATTTAATCGGATGCAATTTAGAATGTACCTATCCCGCGTACATAGTAATATTTATTCGTTAATATTCATTTATTTCTCGAACGCCGCGATATCATATTCCCTAAAATATACAAGAAATACGCGGAAATGTATTACCAGCAATATTGGAAATTAACGCAAACTCACCGACACGTAACGTTGAAATTATAATACTGTGCATTCCAAAAGTTAAACAACACGTATTGAAACATTTATCATTCGCGATCCGACACAATTAACTCACGTTTCGATACCTATCGAATGTTAAAACCCCGAGAGAAATATTTGATTGAAAACATTATTTTCCAAACATTATACATACTAAGGCGATACTGAATTATTTTGCTGTACGAGTAAGTATATATAATACTGTAAAAATTTATAATCTTATTTCTTTTTAGATATCATTAAAAATGATGTCATTCGTAAATGGTATTGCTGCGAAAACAGTTTTATCTCACAATTCAGATAAATAAATTCTACTTAGAATCATGCTTTTCAGAAATTATCTTTATAACATATAAATTACAAAAGAAAAATATTGCCAAAACTATACTTAATAAAAAAATTATATAATATTGTTGTTAATAATAGTGATTTTGCCTATCCTTACGAAATAGTGGCCAGTAAAAATTTTTTTAAATTCCACTTACGTGCAACAACACCTCGGAATGAGTATCTCATGATATTATGACACGCGATTAATTATCGGGGCACCACTTTCTTACCTCCCCCGCATTCCTTCGAGCACGGAGAGAGGCCGACTATTTTCCAGGCGAACTTCCTCCTCTTCTTCTTTCTCGTCGCCTTTGACTTTGGCTGATCGCCCGCCATCACCGTGGTCGGTGGATGCTTCATCTCTTCCTTCCGTTCGCCGTCGTGCGCGCGCGGTGGATCGCGATCGCGACGCGTTGGAGATGAATCGCTTCGCCGATCCGATCTGGAAGACAGAGAGAGCAACGGGTTGTATGAACGAAGACAAATCGCGCGGCTTAACTGCGAGAGGTTCTCGAACGCGCCGCGTGAATTCTCGTGCCGCACAAAGGAGGAAGTCTATCGACGAAATCCGAGCCGATGAGCGAGCGCGAGGCTCACTCCGAGATGAGATTTCAGAAGTGTCACAACGATCGAACGGTGAAGATAAGAGGGAAAATTAAAGATTAAAGAGATTGGAGAAACCGCATCGTATAAAAACGTTCGAGATAATTAAACTCCATGGGAACGAATTTACATACACGCAATCTGTATTTTTTTTTTACGTTTTAATGGAAGAGTAGTAACTTCGAAAACTGCTCTTTCGATACTTTTAAAAATGATGTCACTTCGGGAGTTTTAATAAGAGTTATTTACATTCTTGTAACGGGTACTCGCACGGTCACGTGAGTATCTGGACTAGGTATCTCGTTGCCCCGATCGTTTGCTCCTACGAAGAAAAATAAAACGTTACATGTTTATGGACTATAATCGATGGGTTTTTTATTGCGCATAATTGATTGGCAATGAAGCAATTACCTGCGACAAGCAGCGGCGGTGCAATTACCGCTTTATCGTCCGGCACTTCCTTCGTAGGTAGCATGTACTTGTACAAAACGCCCGGATTTAATTCCACGGATAAGATCTACAGTAATGCGCGAACAATGATATTAACATCAAGACCGAGTTCGATTAAATGCGTAGGTATATTAGAACGCACTTAAATATGCATAAAAATTATAATACAAATTAGTGCTGGATATCCGAACATTCAAATATCCGAATAAAATTCTAAAATCCAGATATTCGGAAAAACTATAAAATTATTTTAAATGCAGAAATAGGAAATTTATAAAAAATTATTAATTTTTTTTAAACATTTAGTTACTTTTCGGCTTATTAACAACAATTATCAAAATAAATCAAAATTTAAATGCGTTAACATTATCTGAATACTGAATAAGTTAGATTGATTTCTGTTCAATATCCGGATCGAATATTTACTCCTTTATTATTTTTCTCTTTCGAACATCCGGATATTTGGAACATAAAATAATCCGGACTATCCGCCCAGCACTAGTACAAATTACAAATATGGAAAACTAACGTAATAATTAAGTCAAATCGTTTTACTTTCAAATTATAGTTTAGCGGTGCTAAGAAATAGCGCAAAAGATAAGCGTGAGAGATAAAACAAACAAAATTAGAGAGACAGAAAGAATCCGTTAGTAAAAGTCGTTCGTAAATTGCACCTCGAATTATCCATAATTAAAGAAAATCTGCTTTCGATACGATTAACGAATACTTGACGATAACGCGGATAATACCTCTAAATGCAGAGACTCGTTCAATGGTCCGGTCGCCAAGATACACTCCATACGGTTCCTATCGCCCCTCTGGTATGTTAATGTCGTACCAGCCGCTTTATAAGTACCACTGGGACTGTAAGACCACGGTCCGTTTAGGATGTAACTGCCGTTACTGTCTCTCAACGCTGCGAGTAGATCGATCGTGTTTGTTAACCAACATACCACCGTTGCGTAAAAACGCCGCTTAATTAGTTCGTCTCCCGCGTGCTTTTATTAAATTACTGGCGCGATTGTTAGAGGTGACAAAAAATGTCCACGGTAATTCGCAGTGGCTATTCATTGGTTTTCCTGTTGACACGATTTTCTCTTTGTTTTGAATAGGTTTTGAATTGCTAATTAAATGCCGCGCGTGTCAAGCTATTAGAGTGTTAATTATTCGATGCTAATTTACAAAAGGCAGGATCATTTCACTTCGGTAAATCGGTCAATGTTACCTAGAAAATTACTGCTGAATCGGAGCTCGGAAATGTTGAGCGACATTGCGCCCTTCGGAATCGTGGTCACCTGCTGATGACCCTTGGACAGAATCGGCTCCAGGAAGATGCCCTCGTACAGCCTGCACCCTCTGCCTTGGCCACCGCACACGCCGCAGGCGTCCATCGTCGCATCGGAACCCACCACGCCGTCGCATCCTACAGGCTGAATATGGCAAACATGGCGAATTTTCGGCATCGCTGCGTTTAATCCACTTAGGAATTCCCACCCGGGACTCTATCTCTCCCCAATTTTGTCGAACCTTCTATTCTCAAGAACTGCATTTTTCACGATATCTTTTTTTAAATAATTATAATTAAAATTATTACATATAATTGAACTGTATTCACAAAGTTTTCTTAAGTTTTATTCAATTTAAGAGTTTTCTAAAAAATTTTAGCATTTTCGCTAGAGAAAGACTCCGACTGCAAATTTATCTTGTCTCGAGGGAAACGGGAGAACACATGTCCGTCATTTCACGCAGCTGAAGTCTCGAAATCGAAGAGACCCAGTCCTCTGAGCGTTGTTGATTGATAAAGGCATTTAACCGAATTGCACATTGCACCGGGCGTGCGATGAACCCCAAATGTCAACAAGAGAAAGGAACAAGAGAGAGGGGTCGTCGCGCGCGGCGCGAGGGCCCCAAAGCACGGGTCAATAGCGATCTCATCGATCGATCCTATCGTATCGCCTGGTATCGGTCATTAATTTCCGGCGTCGTTCTCTCGCCTGACGCTCGCGCTATTCATACCTTGCATTGTCCGGCGACGCAGAGCCATCGTTCGCTGTTGCGTTCCGTCGAAATCCCGCCACCACCGCCGCTGCCGCCGCGTCCGCGAAGATTCGGAGCATCGCAGGGCGTGCCGTCTATTACTGCCGGTTCAAGCGTTGCGTAAAAAGGCTCGCCGACTGCACGGCAATTGAGCGCGCAGGAGTTCGGCGCTGGGGAACAACAGTAGTCACGATTAGGCCAGGCGGAAGTTAGGTCACCAGGCCTGGTCGTCGGCTACGTCATCGTTATATCGGTCGAACACCGATCGGCCGACGTCACTGACTCGTTTGGGTATCGCAAGACGCCTCTTTGTTATTTCATAAAAATTTTGTGTTTCGGCAGGGACAAAGAAGAGAATTCCACCAGAGAATTTAATGCATACGATATTCAGTCAAACTAAATATCGTTCAGAGCATTACACATGATAATTAATAGATAAACGCGATATTGACTGGCTACTCTTATTCACTAATGATAAGAGAATCAATTAAATAAGATATTATAGTTAAACTTTTGACGATATTTAAATTATTTTTTAGAAATTTAAACTACATTCTCCATAATAGATTATTAGAAGATGGATATATAATAAGAAAAATCATTAATTTCTGTCTCTACAAAAAGAATAAATGCTTCTTGGCATAATTATTACTAATTGAAGAACATATTTCTTAAAGATAATGATCCACAATCGGAAACTAGCAAATGGATTCCCAGACAGCAGACTCACCGTCCACGAAGGGCACCCAGACGTAACTGCGGCCCTTGTAGTTCCTCCCGTTGTACTTGGCGCACTGTTCCGCCCGCAAGTCTTCCGGGAAGTTCGGGCATTCCTGCACAAACGCGTAATGGATTAATTAAACTTACGGTAATTAAGGATCGATCGGAGGGGGGAGGGACGACGCGTTACCATCGAGAAAGAGATGGTTCGGGTTCTCCCGGGGAGCAGGAGGGGGTGTGAAAAAAACCGACCGCGATCGATCGCGTCGCTTTTTACAACACGTCGCGCTTTTCCCAAAGCGCTGCTGCGGGTAAATAAAGGTAAAATTATTTGCGGCTTCTGGCAGGAAAAAAAAGCTCGCATTCCGAGCCGCCGAGAGGAAGTCCGTATATTCGTGCAAACACGCGAATGCCGGCACGTGTGGTGTGTGCTACGTGCGCGGCCGCGTTGCAATTTCCGGGTAGACTATTAATTGCCGGCGAACGAAACGGTGGTTACTTTGCCCGGGCATGTTTGCGAATCGCGAATGCAGCTCGGAAATGTAGTCCCCGGATATCGAGCCCAAAGATGAATATTCCCGCACGAGGCGCCGCTTTTTCTTCGCCGGGTAATAACGGATAACGAAGCCGCATCTTTTAGGTAGCCATCAGCCAATTTCGTTGTATCACGATTTTAATTTCGAAACAATTTAACTCAAAGACCAAAATTCTTACTTAACGTTTACTTGTGCTCCGCTTTTAATAAATTAGCGTCTTTTTCTTAACTGACAAAGATATATGCAAAGTACAAGTACTTGTGAGTCAAGAACATCCAGTGCGTCAACCGCGCACTGATCCGGATCAAAATGTAAACAGATCTTATCGCGCGGTCTTTCCTATCATCAAGAGCTAATCGACACCAGCGAGTCCTTTCTCCCTTCTTCTCCCTCCTCGATACCGGCCAGAGCCATCCATTACACGGCGGTCTTTAGTTTCGCAGGTGGTGATTATTCTTATGAATTTTAAACAACGCCATGTGCATACACACACACACACACACACACGGGCTCAGGGATATAAATCGTCGTCGTGCGCATCCTTAATTGGCCCGCGCGATGATTTGTTCGAGGCTCGTGACGCGCCGTCGAGAGGAAAATCTTAAGGAGCGTGCCTTGCAGCGCGCACGGGTCGGTCTAGGTGGATATAGATGCACACGTTGATTTATTGCGGCATCGTGGAAGTAGTGACACACGCACGAGCATGTATGTGAATTTTATGCGGAGCGAGCGAGCTCTCGCGCGCGGCTAATTGTCGGTTCAAGGCCTCGACAATAAACCGCTCTGGAAATAAGGCGGTCTTCTGTAAGCGCCTACTTAGTTTTCCTGAAATTCCACGAATCTCTTCGCGGAGAATAATGGACACCCTTTTCGGCGTTGCGGATTCTCTCTTCGTGAAATTTACACTTACATCGGATACTGACGGACCGAGCGCGATCGACGAAAACGAGCTTGGTAACCAAAATTCTATTATCTATAAGGAGCAAATTTTACATCGTGGAGGTAGCCCAAGAGATCGAAATTATTTTTTAAACGCATATGATAGAATTAAAATAGACGCTATCATTTTTCAACAAATTTAAGGTTAAATAAAAAGAAAAGTCAACCGCTCGTTAAAATTGTAAGCTATGTAAGAAGATCAACGACCAAGATACGAGCACAAAAATAAGAACCTAGTTCATTAATAATAGTTAAAATTTAATTCTTCAAGAGTTAAGATTCTTCAAAAATCTATAATTGCTCGAATTTTATCTACAAATTTATTTTTTAGACACAAGATAAAGTTAAGATATATAGCGTTAGGTACCCTACTATTTTTAGGTGCGCTACTATTTTTCAACAAATTTAAAAATTCTTCAAGATTTTTTATAATTACTCAAATCTACATCTGCGAAATAATTTTTTAGACGGATACAACAGAGTTGTTAGACGCTCTATCATGTTTCATCAAATTTAAGAACTTGATTCTCCGAGAGTTCTTTACAATTCTTATCGACAAACGCGCTCATGTTCTTACACGCCGGCTTACCTGCGTATTGCACGTGTGGTAGCGTCTGTATATGCCGACACAGATAGGCCTGCCGCTGCTCGTACCGTTCTCCGAGATAATACTTCGTCTTCTCAAACGTCTCCTGGAACGAATCGCTCGCATTAGCTCACCCATTGACTCGCGCGAGTAGCGCGTGATGCATCCCGATTTTTAGCGCCAAGCGCATAAGCGCGCTTTTGAGAAGTGCAGAGCACTATGATAATTTTAAGATCAAAGGAGAGAAAGAAAGAGAACATGTGTTATAAAACTTAAAGAAACATTTCTCTATGGGTTATTTAGCTATCATTGCTGTGGTAAAGAAGGTAATTACACTTGTTTTATTAAATGGAGGGAATGATTGGTCAATATATTGCATTTCTTTGGTTCACGTAAAATTAGATAAAGTGACTTGAAAATTTGAATCTACATTTTTTTCTCTGACGCACTTTATTGAACTGTCATTTTATCTATAAATTACAATTAAATAGCATTTATATATCTTTAAAATATTAATTGAATTTGAACATCACTTTTGTATCCAATGTGACAGAGCAAAATATGATTGCTTCTTAATTGTTTACGTTAAGTTAGTCACTAATCAGAACTTCTGTATAACTATCGTCAAGGATAAATCAAATTCAAGTCATCAAGGTGATTTGCAACTGCGAGATACTGGCTACTTTGTATTTACTCGTAGGTATAGCGAACTCGAGATTCATATTGCGAGTCACGTAACGGCTCGCAGTAGCGTTACGAAGGTGTAAATGTCAGTGGCGATAACAACACGTTTCTGCCTCCGGGAGAAGCTCGCAGGAGTCGTCGGCCTGCCGGTGTATAATCTTCTTACGCTACTGATCCGTAATTTGCACGCTGCTTTATAGCTAGCCATACAGGACATACAGGGTGTACGGAACTTGTGCGTTAAAGTCTCTTTCAATTTGCAGCCAGTTTCGTATTGTTCATGTTTTACTCAAATTTTATATATTGTTTTATTCTTAAAATACTAGATTTATTTTAATATATACATATAAATAAAATTCTCTATCGGCGACAAAATTCGCTCATAGGTGGATTCTCAAAAAAGAAACGCATGGAGAAAACATATTTAAATAATAAATATATAAGTGATGGCTCTCAAATTCTCTTTCTCTCTCTTGCATCAAAGAAACATTTTGTACAAGTATCATGCACGATGTATACAATTTGAAGTCTAAGTTTCGAAAAATATAATCGCAGCTCTTCATGTTTATGATATGAGTGAAAATAATGTTTACGAAAGTATATTACATAAACTCTGTACAAAATTCTTCCGTTTATTCGAAGTAAAAATTATGCTAATTGTAAATATATATAGATATCTATGTACATTCGTAAGTTAAATAGTTTTTAAAATATTACTCTGGCTATAAATTTTCAAATACTTTGAATAAGATTTATATTAAAGACTTTCAAAGTGAATAAATAAGTAATATAAGAATAATGAGCATTATCGCATTAGAAAATGTGAAACAATCTATCCAATCTAAAAACTATGATTGTTCATCGAGATACTTTACTATACACGCTGTTGAAGAAAAAAAGTTAAACGACCTGCATCTCTATAATGAGGGATATTGACGAATCCGAGGCACCCTGTATATTCCTCGTGGATATGAAAGAACCGAAGAAGATAGTCGGTGATCGATCAATTGATGGATTGAGAAGATGAAAAGTAGAAGTAGCGTATTCGCGCGCTAGGTTCAAAGTTCCGCGCGGCTATGCGAAATGCAGCGACTCGTCTAGCGAGCGCTTATGATCCAAATTGCGCGAGGCTCTAACGGTACCGCGAGGCATGTGATTATTGTTAGGCTCAACTTCGCATTATATCGCAAGGTGCTTTGCATTCTTGCGATGGAGTCGCGACGTTCAACGATTACCGATCCTCGTCATGACCTCCCGCGGAAGATCGTGCCCCCCGCGCCCGCGCCGCGAGGACAAAGGTGAAGCAAGGTGTGGAAATCTTTAATCGAGCGTGAAGATATTTGGCTAGCGATGTGTCATACAGTGCTTGATCTTCGTGTTTAACGAGCTCTCGTCGCGCTTTTATTTTTGTAAAAATACAACCAAGAGGAAACTAAAGAAATGTGTCGCACATATACATATACTTATATATAATGTACATATTTATTTTAAAATTTAAAATATTAAAAACACATTTTTAAATAGCATTATACATGTGTTTTTGTTATGTATAGATATCTACCGCTTTTCGAAAATTTGCTTTACGCCACCTCGTTATGAAAGATCTATATTAGTACCCGTTTTCACTAATCGAAAGAAATCCGAAGATTTTCGCATTACAAAAATTTTTCGCATATAAATTAATTTCTTCTTCGCTTTGCGCCCGTTTACGAAAGATTTCATAGAAACGCTCTACTTTCGCCTTAGCGGAGAAAACCTGTATTTTAGATGAAATATAATATTAAATGTGACATTATACGTTTTTTTAAATAGAACTTTAAAAAATTATTTCGAGATTTTTATTAAATGCACTCACCGTGGGACGCATTCTCGAAATTGAGACTGGATACCAGTGCCGCAAGATCTGGAACACTCGCTCCAGGAGCTCCACGTACCCCAAGTCCCTCTTATCCTGTTGTCATGGCTAATTCCAAACTGCGTTCTTTCTTGTAACATATGATATACCTGGAGAAATTAACAACTGTCAATCGCGAGTTCTTCAGCAAGCGTTAATTCCGAAGCTTACAGTCAAACGTTAAATTAAAGATCTTGAAAAAAAATAGTTTTTAAATAAAAAATAAGCTAATATTTCTGATTATTGCAATCAAATATCTCATATCTTATTTTTATAATTTATGCGACGATAGCTATACTTCATTCATCGATTATCTTTCTAAATCTGATTCACGTCTCTTTAATATAGAACATATATATTCGGATACAATTTTAACAAGCATTTTTACATTTATTTAAATCTTGTTTATAACTTTTTAATTATTGCCTCTTTCATATCACTTTTCATAAAAGATAGCTGCGCAAAGAGCGAGCTATTACAGTGAAAAAAATATCGAAGCAGGTAACTGGACGGTAATTAAACGATGGAGGCAGATAGCACGCGCGTCTGGTATTCTGTTCTTGTTAATCACACGCTGGCATCATAGAGCACAATCTGTTTGTTCGGTAATTAATATCGCTACCATAAACGAGATTCCAATTAGATCGCATGCGTTTCGGTATCGCGGTAGTCTTGTCGTGATTAATTAAACGAAGGATCGATTACCGTATTGCACACACCGGCGTTGAATTTACGGCGTTCGATCTATCTCCGCGCACCACGGGCTACCCGTTGCATTAACTTCTGCCGGAAGTTCGCTAAGGTAGCGTCGTTCTATCGGGAGGAAAGGCACGACGTTCTCACGTGAAGATTTCCCGCGCTTCATACTCGTATACTTCACGTCCGATCCTCCCTTCGATCGCGCGCGTCTAATTAATCAAACGCGCGAGTCGCATCTCTCTCGTTCCCTTACGCTCCTTACGCGCGCATTATCTCGAGTCTGGAATACAAATCGTCGATTTCGCCGAACCTGCCGCGAGACGAATAACAACCGTTAAATCTCGAGAGGCCTCTTAAATGCGACTTTTGTTCCGCCTGTACGTTCGCCGGCTCCGCGCGTCGCCCAGGATCGCCTCTATTTTTAAACAAGCCGATGAAGATTTAGAGTTCGCGAAAAAGCAAATACGCGAAACGGACGAATTACACGTTTTCGTAAACGCCGTGCGCCTCCGTTAACGACGAATTTGGAATTCGAACGAAGAGTTTTTACCTGTTCTTATCCATTTTTTTTTTTTGCAAGTCGTTAACTCTAAGAGAGCAGCAGGCTAATACTTCCTTAATGCCTGGCATTAACTCCGGAACGTTAATCACAGCGCTTATACAGCACAGGTCCCGCGCAAAGAAGGAAATACATATACTTCACGTTGGATATATGTACGTGAGAAGACGTTTACAGTACACGGAATAATGAGACCTTATTGAGAATAAATTCATGCAACGACAATGCTTCACGGAGAGAAACGGAGGGCACTTTGCGTATTTTTAAATAATAGATCTGTTGTGCAGAAGACAAGAATCTGATTATGAGCTGAATTGAGTTGAATTCATTCTTTGCCTGGATTTGACTTGAATATAAAATCAACAGGAATACATGATTATGAAAAGATAATAAAGTAAGTCGGGGGAAGATGCCACTTTGTTAATGTTTTGTTCATTATCCGATAGACGCTAATGCTTTCGTTAACGTAAGATTATATTATTCATACAACGAGTGACGCGTGCAAGCTTCTTCTCCAGCTTTATCATGTTAAATCCGAAGAATCTGGGAAGATCTGTTCGAACCAAGTGGTAAGTAAGCTTCTTATAATATTGTACTGTTGTTTGTTAAGATCTTTCATAATTTCTTGTCATTGAAAGTGGATTTATTTAACATATTTTGAAATCACGTGAAATGACCGTGTCTTATGACCCAAATAGTCATTTATTCTATGACGTCAATGTATGAAGAGTTAAAGATGACATCTCCTCGTCATTGGTACTTCAGGAAGCTAAGAGCACTTCAGGAAAAACACCATTAGCATGACGGATTATTTTATTTACACAAATACTAGTACGTACAATTTTTGTATTCTTATATTAGATTTTAGTCTTTTAAAATATCGTGAATAAATGTTCGTGCTACAATATTCGATTAATGTTCGATTAACATCTAAAACAAAAATATTAATTTTTCTGAGAGATTATGTATTTATGAACAAAATAAAAATGATTGAGCCGATAACTAACTAATACGTATTACACTTCATTTATTGAGTGCTGCATGTTCCTCACAGTATATTTGCATCTTACCCAGGTATAGGAGTAAGATGTCAGTTTTGCAAGGATGTAATCAAATTACAACATTTTACGATAACTTTTAGAGTGGCTATTTTCAATACTGCTATGTAAAAGCTTAAGTATCATCTTGCAAAAATTCCGAAGCGTTGTAACTATTTGCTCATATTTCTATAATATTTCTTAACTATGGCATCTTCTCCCGACTTATTTTATATGTAATATAAAAATCGAGAAAAACCGGCGATTAAATTATAAGCAAATTCACCGTAGTCGTGTAGTGAGTTAAATTCTCTTTATTATAATATCGGTTTCTCAACAAAGCGATTCCGGAAATATGTACTGATCACTTCGGAGGAGTGACCTTGGCGTCAACGATATAGGCTCGCGACGAGAGTCGCAGGTGTGATTTCGGGTAGCCGGAATACGCCGTATTTTCTAGGCCGCGCCGTCTATTTTTGTGTCTCCCGTAATGCCGCAATGTTTTCCAGAACAAACGGGCTCTCAAGCGTAATTATTAAGTGGCGGTGGCAGTGGTTGCATACAGCACGCGGACCGTGTTTGCGTTCGTTCTCGTGTCGCGCGCCGCGTGGCCTTGCTCCCGGCGCGCTCTCCGCACCAGCGTAATTTAGGGACCTCCTCTCGGTGTCAATTAATTACCCTCACTCGGCGTAGTGCCCACCCGGTATGGCGGCCACGTAATTGTGTATTAACTCCCGCAAGTGGATCGAATTAATATGCACCGCGCGCGACGAGAAACTATCGTCGGAGAAGCGGGATAGCCCGGATGGCCGATTGCGAGATCGAATCAAGCTTGTCGCGGACGTGATTATTTGTTGACGCTTAATCGGTGACATCGACTCCGAGTGAAAGCGAGCTTATCGTCATAGCTTGTCGTCGAACTTATATGCGTGCTGCAGAATCAATTCTGTGTCATTATTAATAAAATAAAATTGTCTTTCGAACAAATTACTCAATTTGCAAAGAACTCGAAACAGAAATTGCGAGAAATATTTTTTCCCGATTTAATTTAATGAAAATATTTTCCTAATATTGCTCAGAAATACACGCTAGTTACTATTAATTCATAAAACAAAAAATGTAATCGTTCCTATGAAGACTTACTTCTATGGGATACTTTTCAGGCATATGGGAGGACGAGACACCGGCCGTGCTCAGCATCATCAGGGCTAGAATCGATCTGCAACAGAGATAGAGAAACAGGCGTATAAATCGATCCATTGTGTAAATACGAAGATCAATGAGCGGAATGGCGAGCACGATCTATATACTTTCATGACCGAAAACCGTTCGCGCCGAGCGAAGCAATTACTCTTTTATCGTCAGCAGCATCGCCCGTTCGCCTGCTTTCATTGAGTTAGATATTTCAAGAATGCGATCTTAATCTTCATTGAACAACTAACGCGCGCTTTCGCAGATGTGCAATGATAATTAATTGAAGCCGATAATGCCAGCGATAAACCCTGTTTAATCCTTTGCGCTCCAATATGTTTTTCTTTTCGCAAAAGTACGTCTAATCAATTACTTAAAATAAGTATAAAACAAAAATAAGTACAAAACAAATATATTTACAATGTGCAAGTAAATAGAATTCTTTTCTCCCTTTCTTTTCCTTTAATTATTTCGTTTCCATACCCAAAGATCAACGATCGAAAAATATTTCCAGTATAAGCATCATATTTATCTTAAAAAAGTGTGATTTACGGTAATGTCTACGATACAAAGTTAAGGTATCGTGCAGCCAGGGAACGGCAGAAAGCGCATTTCTCGTTGACAGGCCTCGGACAACATGTTGCTTCCGTTGGCGTAATCATTAATGTTGCTTGACCACGTAGATGCAGATCCTGGCAATCGATACAGCCGATTCGCGTTGACTTATCTCGGCTCGATCAAACTACACCATACGCACGTCCCAATTTTTCCTCGTCGTATACAGTCGCTCTCTCTCTCTCTCTCTCTCTCTCTCTCTCTCTCTCGCTTTCTCTCTCTCCCCGCGTGCAGCATCCTGAGATCGAGCTCGACATGCAATCTCAGCATCCGTTGCTACACGGGATAACGATTGCGCACCACGTTCCCCGGAAACGCATTTTTTCGGCTGGTAAATTAGCTTAGGAACGTTCGCGGATTTACAAACACCGTACAGGAAAAGAGAGAGAAACATCATCAAAATTGCAATATATACCTAATATATCTAATTAATATTTAACGATAGATAAAACGTGAGATACATTACGCGTATAGATTTAGCGGCAAACGTTTAGTACATATATGAATAACTTCATTTGAATTCCTTTCCCCTCAATTTAGAGAAGAGGAGAGGCAACGGCAGAAGTGCAAGCATGAGTGATGTTGGCAACGAAGAAAATGCACAGACGGCGAAGCACGCAGATGCGCTTTCATGCGCGCAAAAACCGCGACCGACTTGTCGCTTCTCCACGCTTAATTATTCATAAGCGCGCTAAATTGGCGCCCGCGCGCCGGGAAACGTATAACAAATAGAAAACGCATACGGCGATGATAGGCCGCGACGCGCGCAGATGCGCTCTGATGCGCGTAAATGCCAGCTACCGTATCATCTTTCCGCGGAAATTACTCAAAAGCGTGCGAGCTTTAAAGATACTGGAAGGAGGAAACGATGCAAAACGCAGATGGCGATACGTGCTTTGATGCATTTCGAGAGGCGCCGTACCGTTCTATGAGTTAAGTAACAGCCAAAAAGTTGCGATAAGGAGCAAGTTCTAAGTTAAAGGAGAATCTGTTGCTTAAATATTTTGCTCAAATATTTTACATCTAAATTACGCAAAAACGCTCTCAACGCCGAAATTAATAAAAGATTAATTACAGAGACGTGTACATATCTCTTTGAAACGAAAATCGTCCAATCTCGAGGGCTCTCTCGTTTATACGAGACAAATCGATGTACAATCCTTAATTAAATCTAAATCATATATAAAATTTAATTATTCCTAACAAACAAGTTGAAAATAAAATTTAATGAGTTATATATACTTAAATATATTTCACCTCTTCATGAGAAATAAAAACTCACCTTTAAATGCGTGCTTGTGAATTAAACCCCCCCAAAAAACTCGACCAAAGTTGAAATTATTCGCTCTGTTTGATTTATATTAATCGAGTTAGAACTCGACAAGTCTCAAGCGCGAGCAGGAAGTGCATACGAGCTACTAGATCACACACAAAGGGGCGAAGAGGAGGAACCTCGACCGCGACTGATCCGGGTAAACTGTGCCACTATAAGCGTTAATAATGTTTCACTTGTTGCGTTTTCTCGGAAAGCTTAATTAATCATTAGATCCCGCCGCCGCGGGTCGAGGGAGAGGGGGAGGGACGAGGGACAAGACAAGCACTCTGACGCGGGATGAGAAGAGCGGGGCGCAGACCGCCCGTCGTCGCTGCTGCAGCGGTAGCACACGACGCGCGTATGCAGCCGTGCGTGTAAGTATATTCGCGCGAAATCAGAAAAATGCGCTATCTCGACTATATCCACAACACGCGACGCGCCTGGTAATCGAGGGGCGGCATGCGCGTTTCCCGATGCACCACACGCGAGCGATGAGGCATTGCGATGTAGCGCGTTCGCCCGCGACGCCTAACACGTGTATCCATCTGCTCCGGGACCTCTCGCAGCGAGTCTGCAGCAAAAGGATCGCGCGAGATCGCAGCCGGATTGAGAACGAGGAATTCTGATTTTTGTCCATGCCGCGACCGCCAGCGAGATTTGCGTCGTCCGTTCATTACGCATCTCTCCTCCGCGATGCGCGATTCGACAGACTGCTTTCGATTATCTATTCAGAGAACCAGAAAATAATTTTCCTCAAGTTTCATGTTTTTATCTTGATATTATCTAGCTAATATCTTGATAATAGTTTATATATTAGATAATATATCAACGTTATAGTATGTAAAATAATTGAACATAAGATAAAAATAAGAAATAAAATAAAATAAAAATAAGAAAAAATAAAGATAAATTATTTTTATGTTCAATTACTACATAACGGATAAATACGAATAAATTACTTGCTACACAGAAATCTGATAGTAAAATAAAGATATACATTAATATCTAATTAACTAATTAATAAATTTTTCACTAATTAAAACTTCCTAAACTCTTGGTAGCATAAAGTGAAAACTGAATAAAATAGCTACTAATAACTTACACAATTTTAGCTCTGTAGAAAGTAAATTACATACATATATCTCAATTCTCAAAGAAGAACGTTGATAGATGACATTTACATTCATATATTCCTTTGCAGATGTGAAGCAATGATATTATCTAGCTCTTTCCGACTTAATTGACATCCTGAATTCTCTATGTCAATTTTCTTCCGTAGTCTTTTACTGCTTGAAGTACACCGATAGAGATTCCGCGCTTTATCAGCGAGAATGCGATCGCGGATCGCGTTTCACGGCGCGGCTCACAATGCAAATACATTCTTGCCGAAGTATCGGCGATCGATCTCTCTCCAACATGAGCTTACGAAGTCCGAACAACTACGAACCGTATCCACGACCCGTTACGACTTCCCAGTTCCCCTATCATGCAGCCCGTCGCGGCGTATCTCGCACTTACAACAAACAATGCTGGTCTTGTACTCAATGGCGTAGGAATGCGAAAAATCGATCGGCAAGAAGCTGCACCATGCCTCGGCCAGCTTTACAAAACCCGGCCAGAATCCTCCTATTGAAGACGACCACAGGACGTCAATCGCGACCAGATACGCCACCATAAAGTCAAGGGTCCTCAATGGCTCTCGTTAAGGGGAATACCGAAGCCGGTTTTTTGTCGCTAGAGTGAAATTATTAGCGCTGTACTTAAGTGCGAGTAGCATATCTTCCACTTCCGCGAATCTTTGGCAATTTGGATCGAAAGTCGGTCAGAGCGATAGAGCGCGCGAATTCCGAGCGAACGTAAAGCAACAAATAAAATACTGCGATATTATATGTAGATATACATATTAAACGTTATAGTGAAATTTATGATATTTTTCTCGTTCGTCAAAATCAAAGAAATACACGGAAATGTACATATAATGTATAAAATTCCATTACATTTTTCAATTACATTTTTGTACAACTGCAATTAATTATAGAAGAATAAATTTAATATTATATATCGTACTAAATTTTTCTGTTACTATTATGATTCACTTATTGCCTCTAATGATACATATTTTTACTAAATAATACATATTTTTACGCAATTAAAATGTAACTTAATGTGAAAAAAGATATAAATATATTTGTAAATAAAATAAAATGCAATGGCAAAAAAAATCGATTTGTAAACGACTTGTTCATACAAATTATTTGAGCGATATATCATCACCGTTTCACGCTCGAAAGAAATGCGCTTTACTGCGCCGCAATCTGACGAAATCAATAAAGATACTTTTAGAATCGTTGCGCGACATTGTTATCACAATAGCATCATTAAATTATCGTATTATACGGCCAACGAACAAATTCTCATCTAATGGTAGCGTGTGCTCAGACGGAACAATTGCGGGTCGTGTGACGGGTTTAACGGTGCCATATATTAATACAGCTCTCTCGCCGCTTTTACAAGCGCGGCTATACACATTGTAACTTTTACGCCGGTATTATAAATAAACGGCACTTGCCCCGCAATTACGGCGGATCGTAAAAATTACGCCGGTCCCTGCGCCCGCCGAATAAAAGTTATATGCCCGTTGCGCTTACGTCGCGTAAATACGATATCTCGAAGTTGGAGTTGCGACTCGGCAATTTGAAACTATTACAAGACGTACAGCGCAACGTTAAATTCAAATAAAACTCGTATGGTACACGCTCAATGTGCTTAATGATATATATATAGCTTCCAATCGTGTTATGTGTTTTGCAGACATTTAGAGAGCTCTTTATTCTCAGAGCTGTCTTCATAATCTCTTTATAGCTCGTTTTAAGAAATTTAGTCGTTTAAATTCCCCCTGAATTTGTCTCATTGCCACGGATATCCTTTAATAAGTTTTCGGTCGCTCAAGTAGTTGTCCTTCCACAAAGGGTTGTAATACGTATCGAGCTTCAAACATTCGCGAGACTACTTCGAAATCAATCCGAAGTGACAGAACAGGGAGACGCGCAAGGAGGAAGAGGGTGGACGTATCGTCGACATCCGGCGTCGCGGGAGGG